GAACAAAAAAATGACTAAACTTTGAATTATTAACAATTCATTTAAAATCGATCATAAATGACTATTTTAAAAACACTCGGCATAGGTGTTGAACATAACACATAATAAAAGCAATGTGGAAAAGTTATATAGATTGATTGTAATATTATTTCAATCAAGATGAACACACATATACATATATTGTCTCTGATCTCAAACTATGAACTAGTTTTGTGTTCTGTTTTGAAGTTTTTTTTTCTTTTCATGAGAATATCATTGAATGAGCAACAAATTAAGGCTATGTTTCATAGATTTAGTTTATTGATACGTTCGTTTTCATTATGTATAAACTGACGGTATATTTTAAAAAAAAATCTTATCGTTTCCTATATGTCTCACTTAACGTATGTTACATTGTTTATCCTATGTTTTCATCTTTATAATCAAGTAGGTGATAATTTCATAGATACTTCGAACAAGAATATTCGATTCGTTATAATGGCATTCTGTGTGTTTGATTGACACATTTTTTTTTTCGGAAGAATTTTTGATTAGCGGATGTAGATATTAGGCTTTTCTACTTTCACAAGCAAAGTGGAAGGCTTATAGTACCGCTCTAAGTTCTTCATCCGTAAAAAGAAATCGATTTTCATCAAATAACTAAACACATGAGAAGACAGGCCTAGCTCTAATCTTTCATAAATGGCACAATTTCTTTGTATTAACAGCTCGTTCTTTTTACCAAATTTTTGATGTTTTCTGTCACTATCTGCTTCAAAAATAGGCTTCTGTTTTTCAAAAAAGTAGAAAACATTCTTTTGTTTTTTTCTTTGTGTAAAATTTCTTGATATTCATTATCCATTCTACATCTTTAATTATTTATTTGTTTACAAAGTACATGTCAAGATGCAGGGCATGACAAAATTCTTTTTTTTTTAATTTAAACTTTGTTACCTTTATATAATAACGTATTTTTATAAATAGAACGCCAAATTTTTAAAGCTTTTTTCGACACATTGAACGTTCCGTCCTTTTTCTCTTCTCAAGGATATCTTTCCTTGCGTTTTCGATGCTTCTAAAGAATGACTCAGCAGAAAGTATCTTGTTATTGTTTGTCCTTTAATTAAAAGGCTAACCATCTCAAATAATAGTTGATTTCATAAAAACGCGAAACAATGGGGAATATTTAGAGTCTAAAATGCATTCAGTAGATAAATATCCCTTGAGACTATATAACGACAACAAAAAAAGTTCGGTATATAAAACGGAGAACTAGAATGAATTCTAGGTTGCCAAATGAATTATTTTTGACCTTGATTGCTTGAATATTTCCAGAAAATGTTATGGTACTAGACTGAAAATTTCATACAATTTGAATATACTTAGTGTCCAAGATCAATTTTTGAGGAAGAGAGACGTAATACAAATATTGCCATTTCTTCAATCTAAACTTATATTTGGTAATTGATAAATTACAGAAAGATTATGCATTTAACATGACTATCATGAAACGATGTGCTGAAAAAAAGCATATAATGTCTTCAGTAAATAGTACCTATAAACATCTGTGCTTCGTTATTGTTTTTTCTATAATTCTACTGATCGGAATTCGAAGCCAATAGTAATACTTGATATAGATTCACTTCTAAAAATTTAGACAGTAATCTATCATTCAATTAAAATTCTATTATCATTACTGTAGTTTATTCATCTGCACTAAATTTAAATAATATAAAATCGCTAGCTATTTTTTGATAATTCACCATCGTATGCACAATTTTGATGTACAATAATAGAACGATATTATCAATACTATGGAATACTCAGATGACTTATCATTTTCAATGTTAGAAACTATTAAATTATGTACTCATTTCTATAATTTTAAAAATATTCACTAATAGAAAGTTGTATTTGTTATTCTTGATAAAATACTGCTGCATAAAAAAATGTGTTGATCAAAAAAGAAACTAAACTCATTATAACAGTTGAATACTCATCAATGTATCTATACTCATTATTGTTTTTTTTGTTTTCTTTCAAAGTCTCTTTCGTTAAATGACGATGTCTTCAAACAGTATACTACATAGATCGATATGATTAATAGCATCTCTTGAGATTAGCTTTGACTTTTATGTTTCTTTATTTTTACATATTTCTATGATGACTAGTTTTCTCGATGTTCTTTTAATTGTTCTTATTTTAAATAAGATAGATGAGTAATTTTTGTTACTGAATATAATTAAGAAAATGATGATAACTTATGTTTTCATTTGAAATCTTGATATAAGAATTGTTCTCTTTTTTTTCGTATGATATGTTTGCCTCATTAAAAACTCATTTTTCATTAAGTCTCGTTTTGACTGACATTTTGCTTAAGAAACTTATCGGATACTTAGAGTACACACAAAAAACAAAAAAAAGAAGAAACTAAATCTTTTTTTTTGTTTTATAGATAGATGAAAAATTTGCCTATTGGCTATTATTTTTATTTTTTTTGGTGATCGATTGAGTCGGCAAATATCTCTCTATAATTGTGTTACATCAACATGACACCGCGTGAGATTGTCAGAATAAAGAATGTGAGTCAAGTAGATGTGATCTCTCTTTTTTTTTTTTAGGTGTTATTATTTATTCGCTAAAAGAAAATGACTTCACAACGTTATATGCATCATTGAGCAAAGGCGGATCCTATGCCGCTTTTATTGAGATGAATATTACGATATACCTATTCGATCATTCTTGTTTAAAAAAAAAAAAGAAAATCAAAGCTATATATTAACGACAGTATAGTTTTTACTCGATGATGTTCATACTCAAAATACAAAACATTTTATTTGAGACAATGAAAAATATGTGATTTGGATTATTGATTAGAATAAAAGAAATATAAATGCTATTGCAATTCTTCAAGACTATAAGATTTGTATTGAAGTCGCACGAAATTTAAGAGTACTTCCCTTTGCAAAGAACGGCTTATCAAAAACAAATTAAAAATTTTCAGGATATGTAGATCTTGACAGGTACAGAAAAAAAAGTTGTCATTCCAGACACTGATCTTTGTGAATGTACATTCAAACAAAAAAATCTAGCCTAGAGAAACGGAGATATTTCTGTGATTTTTTTTTTAATGAGAAAATGGTTTTAAGAAAAAACTTGAAACAAGATATAATTTTCGCTAAGTTGGTTTAAGACAATTTTTTGATAATTAGTATAACATGGCCACGAAATATCAAAAATTTCGATTGTGAAACACAAGTATATCCTCTTAATCTCTGTCGTTTTCTAGTAGATGATGAGATTGGTAAATTCTGAATTCTAATTACAAGATTTCGATAGATAAATGTATCTAAAGAAATCTTTCTCTATGAAAATTTTAATTTATTATTAGTATGAATATAATTTTCATCAAACTAAATATTTTATAAAAAACTATCATATGAGAAATCATTCTTATTGTTTAAAAAAATTCTTTAGCATCTATAGTTGACTGCAAATGATATCATCCGGACATCCGATATAATCAGACAAAAGAATCTGAATAAACAAATAGTTTTATCTCTATCAAGCTTAGTATCATTTATCTTCTTTTGACAAATGAATAATGTGTACCACCTTATTCTTTCTTATTGAATATCTACTAAAAATGATTTCATGGAAGAATTAAGGATTAAATAAATTTCGTCGATAGTTTTTTTATTCAGCAATATTAACTCAAAACAAAACGAAAATAGAATATTATAGTAATTATTATTTCATGAAGACTTGTTCATATTGTTAAATCAATATTGCCAATCCTTGAATCTATTATTTATTCTAGACAGAGATGATGTCATGAAGTCACCAGTATTTTTTTTTGAGAATAACATCTATGATCGTAGAAGTCTTAAACTTTTAATCATTTAATTAATTGTCATATTTCAGAAACAAGTTTTAACATTATTGATGCTAAATTGTATGGATTACCTTCAAGATCATAGAACATTGTCTTATCGATCATGATCTTCTGATTATACTATTACATAAATATTAAAGCAACGATCGATTTAAGTTTTTCTTTATGGGGAATGATCATGATCACAAAAAATTTGTTTAAAAGAAAAATCTTCTGGAAGGAAGATGATGACTTCCAACACTCCATCTAGATGCTCTTGATTCTTAAACTTAATATTTCACACTTTCTAAATCATCTTAAGTCTAATTTTTGTATTATTTAAAATATACATTAATTGTAATAAAATCTTTCAAAAAAGGCTTGATCCAGTGTGTGAATAGTTCGATATTGTCAAAGTATTTTTCGTTAAAATTAAAAACTTGTTAAGGAAAAAAAACATTTCGTGTTGACAACACAAGCTAATGAAGAAAGTGTCGATGATATGCGAATACATTGGCGTGTATTTTTTTCTTCTTTCTTTTTTTTTTTTTTTTTTCGTATATATGCACAGTAGGGTAATAACAACTTCTGTCAACGATAATAAATGCATTTTGATCATGCGTAGCCTATGGTTGGTCAAAAAAAAACGAAATAAGGTAATTATATCTATACACAGGTAGACAGAAAAAAACGTATATATGCTTTCAAATGCCATAAATCAAAATTGGCAAGTTAGAAACACCCTCATCGTCAATCACTATTGAAGAAGAAAGAAGAGAGAAAAAAAAAAAGTTTCTTTTCTTTTTTTTTTTTTTCGAGACAGCTTCAGGGTTTTTGTATAAAAATTTGTTTGATGCTTGATTTGTTAACACATTTCAATGACATGACACTTTCTTTTTTTTATCTATTATTTTATTGGTTATTATCAATATTCTTTTTTTCTCGAATGAGAACAAGAGAAAAAAGAAAAAGAAGAAGGAGAAGAAGAAGAAAAGAAAAGAAACAACTCATCCATAATATTCTATATTTTTCTATTTTAGCGTTAAGAAGAAATAAAAACCCTTTACTCATTTCTTCTTCGATTTATTAATAATTTTTTTTAATATTACATTCCATAACAAAAAAAAAAAGAAAAGAAAACAATATTATGGTAAAAACTGAACATCATTATTCCATACCATGGGAAGCAACACATCAACAACAAGTTGATTATTATATGGATATGCCAACAAATTCTTATACAAATGTTAATTTAATTATTAATAATACAAATCAAACTACTTCAATAGATACATCACAAAATGTATTATCAACAGAAAAAATTTCTTTATCATCATCATTATCAAATGAATTTAATTCAAAAATACCATCCAAACATAAAGAAATATATCCATGGATGAATGAAAAAAAACATGGAAACAATAAAAATAAACATAATTCAAAAAATCATAATATAAATTCAAATTCTTCAACATTATCTACTTCTGGTATGATTTATTGTTGTTTTCTTTTTCTATTAGATTAAAATATATCAAACTAAACATATATATATATATAGAATCTCTTTCGATTCATTCTAGATTTAGAGACGAGTTATCGAAGTTTATATTTCATATGTACAGGTGTGTTGATGATTGAGAAAGTTAATCGAATTTTTGAAAAAGAGAAAGGTCGTATGTTCTCTCTTTTGAGAAGTGTTGCAGAAAACGTTAGAATTCCATTTGGGAAAAAAACGAAAAATCCTAAGGACTCACTGTCATCAGAGAAGCATAGACAAATGTCAAAGGTGAGGTTACTACGTACTCGAATTTCAAAAGAAGTACGACGTTACATAAACATGTTCTGTTAGTTTGATAAGAAAATATATAACAATATTTTATAGAGAAACATCTTAGAAATTGAATTTATTCTAGAAAATTTTTCAACTTATAAAAATCAAAATCTTAAATTAAGTGTGAAGTTGTGAATGACGAGTGTTAAATAATAACAAAAAAAAAAAAAAGCATCAAGGATCAATGATTTTTTTTTTTTTGCTCTGCATTAATATTATTTTTGGAATAGAATAGGTGAGAATAATTTATGAACCTAAAAAATCAAGGTGTGTCTATATACTTCATTCGACACATACTTAAGAAACAAAAAAAAAAAAGAAAATATATATGTAACTTAATTTATTCTTTGAATATTATAACCGTATGTTTCTACTGATGCATGTTTTTCATCTGTATGTCTACTGACAGACGCATGTATGAATTCGCATGACAATGATAAATGAGTATATCATTATTCATCGAATAACATCCTGTCGTCTTCTTTAAGAATATAAAACATTGAAGCTTATCATCGAATTGTTGTTTGTATTGATAGATGTATGATGGAATTTGTTTTGTATTTTTTTTTTTTTTTTTGTCTTATTTTCATAGATAAAAATAGTTCAGCATCATCAAAACGAGCTCGAACAGCTTATACAAGTGCACAATTAGTTGAACTTGAAAAAGAATTTCTTTATAGTAAATATTTAAATCGTCCACGACGTATTGAACTTGCACAAACACTTTGTTTAACTGAACGACAGGTAATAGAATTAAATTTATTAGATTTTATTTAGTTTTTTTTTTTTTTTGTTCTTTTTAACTTTATGATTCATAGATAAAGGTAAGAAAAACAAAAGTTTTAATTTGTCAAAAACAAAATTTCTTTTAGATCTGGTTTCAAAATCGTCGAATGAAAGATAAAAAAGAGGGCAAAAATCGAATATTATATACAAAAGGATGTAATACTAATTTAAATACTTCACCATTAGCTAGTTCAACAACAGAAAAAGATGAATTAAATTTTCGTTCATATCATCATCATCCTCATCCTCATCATAACTATTATCAATCACAACCACCAGTAGTACCACCTATGTCTGTAACATTTTCTACACCATCATCATTTCAAAATCAATTAAATTATACATCATCTCAAGCAAATAATTTATATGAAATGACAACAAATTATTCTATAAAACAATCAGATTATTATACTAATGGAAATAATCTTAAAACAAATTATCATACATCAATTCCTCCAACATCATATGATAATTATTATTTTAATTCAGAAAATTCAAGAATACATCATCATCATCAACAACAACAGACCGGTTCAATCTTACCACCATTTGTTTAGAACAATTTTTTTTATCCCTAGTCTCTTGTATTAATTTGTTTTTTGTAATATGCATATTGACTATATGAAAAATTTATTGTACAGAAAAGTACATAATATATGAATTTGATAAATTTCGATTGATTATTCGACTTGATAATATTCATTGGGATTAAATATCTATTGTGATAGTATTTCAAAAATAGATTTCAAATTTCGCTAATGTATCGAACTTATCAAGTTAATCTGTTTTAGATCTGATGGTTTTTCTTTGACTCATCTGAAAAATATATAGAGTGTGCTAGCCATTGAATACAAAAAAAGATATCTCGTATCTTCGTAACTGTTATTACTAATTGATGGAATTCATCAAGTTTCCGAATATTACATTTGTCAACACTTAACTTTCATGTTAATTCATGTAGATTTACTATATACTTCTCAAAAAAGAAAAAGTTGCAATTCTATAAAGAATATTTTTTCTAGATTGCAGAAACTTTTATTGATTTAAAATACTTTTTATAAAAAAAAAAAAATACCTGTATTTTGATTAATACTCAAGATACAATTATCAATTGCATCATTGATCTAGACAGTGTCGTCAGGACGCACAAGGACTAGTAATTGGTTTTTTTTTTTTTTCATAAAAAAGTTTCACAAAAATAATAAGTAATTATTGATTTTCCAAATTTTTTTTGCATGTCTACTATGTACAATGAATATTGATTTATAGACTTATGATTTTGTTTATTAGTATCCTCATGTATGTATTTTTTGTCATGTTTAATGTATGTTAATTATATTCCTTCTTGTTTTGCTTTTTAAAATCTTTTATAATTCATAATCAATATATAATGAAAAATTATAGATTTCACTGTATTATATGACATATGAATCTTTAAACAACAGAGTCAATTTAAAATACAAACATTTTATTGGAGAAGAAGATAGCATATTTTGTTTACCATAATGTGAGCGAATCGAATTCTTCTCTTTTTTATTTTAATTTTTATTAGCATACACCAGTGCAATCAGTGTTCATTTTAGATTTATGAAGAACTCTAGTTGGTCATTATAATCGAAATAGTAAAATAAATTGAGTTGTTTTTTATGACTTGTATTAATGCGCATTGCATACTCATTGACATCTAGTAATACTTCAATTTTTTTATTCAATCGAAGATAAAAATTATGTCCTTATATTCATAATGTAATATGATACGAAAATAACAAACAAAACAAGAGTCTTCCAAAAAAATTCACCAGAAAGGTTGAGCCTTTTCTAGCCACTATTAAAAGAGAAAGAAAAATAAAGAAGTAAGGAATTTTATAGATTATTTAAGTAACTAGTCAATAATCAAGATTTTGATTATCGTGCACTTCCTCTGTTCACAGTAAACAATTTGTTACTTGACTAGTTTGATCCAGAGAATTGAAGTCTGATTAACCAATATTGAATGTGTGAGTCGTAATGTGTAATTTTTTGTTGTTGTTTATTACTTATAAAAATGGTCCTGTAATTCAACATAAGTTGGTTGTTTTTTTCCTTTTAACAAAATTTACACTTAAAAATTAATACAATTTTTTACATAAATATAAAGATGAGAATACAATAATTAATGAACGCAAGATAATACAAAAAAAGCAGATCTGAGTTTTGGTACATCTTTTATTTTTTTCAATAAGAAGATATATTTTAAATTTTATTGCTACGTCTAAAAATTTAGACTTTACATTGCTCATGATTTTTTTAATCATTTGTTTTATTGAAATATTGTATTCGCTTTGTCAATACAAAATGAGACAAGTGAAATTAATCGAATTTTCGATGTGCAAACTAAGATAAACTTATTTTAATATTTTGTTTTTTATTTTCTATACAAAATTATTACTAGAAAAATGAAATTAATAAAAAACAAAAAAAAAGAATTCAACGTATTTAATTCTCTTGTTTTTTCTTCATTGCATGAATTTCCAATGTATATTTTGTTCGAATAATAAGAAAATCATTTTTAATTGTAATAACATTTCTTAATTCACGTTCATATTCTACAATGGTTTTTAATTGAAGATTACCTATTTGAATTAAACGTACTCCACATGAATTAGTAATAAGCCATTCATTATTTGATATTGGTGATAATTCACAATCACCATGTGATACTGGTAATATTGTTTCCCATATTCGAGTAAGATTATTTGCATTACGAATTTCAAAATGCCATTGATTATTTTTTAAATTCAATATAGTCATACCTAATTGATTTGTATGTGGATGGGAACGTATACACCATATACCTTCATATGTAGCACATGTTTGTGGTGGCATCCAACGATTAATAAATTTACATGAAGATTTTCCTAAGACATATTCATCAATAATTGTTCCACAACCTAATCAATGAGAAATAATAAATAAAAAATTGAATAATGAATTCATTTTTATTTTTGTTCGATCGATACTATTTGATTTAAAATATTAGACTATAAATAGGTCATATCAGAGAGATGAATCATGAAACTTTTGTTGACAATAAGTTTTTGATAGTACGTAATTTTATGAATATGGATTCATCTTTTCTTTCTGAGATAGAATTCTGAAAATCTGTTCTTTTCTATTCTATGAATACATATAAAATCTAGATAAACTCTGTCGAATCGATAGTAATACAACAATTATCATGTTAGATAAAGTATGGCACTTGTATGTGATATTTAGTTATTTCTATTAAGATTATCATATTAAATATTATCCGAAATCCAAAATTTGATAATTTTTACTGGCAACTATAACATATGAAACTAGCTGTTAGTAACATTGAAAAAAAATTTTTCTTTTAAGAAAACACAAAACGAATGAAAATTACAGAACTAACATTCTATGCATCAATAAGATGAAAGAAAAAGATTTTCTAGTCGATTTTCTTCCCGTTCTTTTATTTTTTTTAAACTTAAAAAAATATTTCGAATTCTATTACCTGAATAGGTGATATATAATGTTTTACCAACACATGTACATCGCCAAAATAAACTCTTATTATCATATGGTTGTATTATACTATATGATGATAATTTAAATTGCATTTCAATATTAACTGTTGTTGTAGGAGTACTAGCTATTAAATTTGGATCAAATGTAAATAAAGTTCTTTGTGTTAAAAAAATAAATAAACCAAGTTCTGAACACCAAACAATATCTCGAAGTAATCCTTCATGCCATTGAATATGTTTTGGTTCAAATTTAGGTTGTGTACGAATTTCTAATGTTGTTGAACCATTTTGAAGAATTAATAAATTATCATTTGTACATAATGTATTACCATTTTTTAAATGTGATACATAACTTGGTAAATTTAATTTATTTAACTTAAGTTCATCGTCATTATCGTTTAGTGTTTTATCTGAAGATTCTTTTTTACTCATTTCTAAAATTGAATAATGAAACCTTAGAGAAAATCATGATTAGCATATATAGTAAAATGTGTGTCAATAACAAATTTGTTATTTGTTTAGATATCAAAATCATATTCGATGTTATTGCTATATATTGAAATAGTTTGTAATAAATATGATTGGTAATGACGTAGTTATTAAAAATACTTTTGTTTATGAACACTGACTTTTTTATACTGTTAATGTAAAAATTGTTTAAATACATTTTATAAAATTCAAGTGTTTACAAGGAAATGTTTTTATTCATTTCATTTTCATTCATACAAATAAAAAGAAATTGGAAAAAAAAAATTTTGTTTTTCTTCAATATATTCAGTATTTGAATTCTTGTCAATGAAATACAAAAAACAAAAAGAAAACAAAGAAAGATTCGATGTTTAAGAAATTTTAATATGAAGAAAAAATTATTGAAATAAAGAATAGAAGAAAAAAAGAACTTAATTGCCATAATGATAAAGGTGAAAACCTTTTTTTCTCACTCGAGTAGGCAGAAATGCATCGAATAATAAATGTGTCTTTTTATGTAGAAACGAAAAAGAAAAAAAACTTATTGAAGGTAATCGTAGACGTCATCGTCGTTGTCTTGACGGCTGTACATATGTATATTTGACAAAAGAAGGACAAAGTGTGACTGAAAACTAAAAGAAAGAGAAAAAAAAATTTGTTATAGATCGCGACAGTAAATTAAAGAGCAGCATAATATAATTCAGTATATCGATCTGTGATTATTGCTTAGTCATTATTTTATTCCTTTTCTCAACATTTTGTTAACTTGTTGTACTTATTTCATGCATTATAAACAAAACCAATAACAATCGACGAAACGATTTCGTTTGTTCTGTTTCAGCACGTATTTGACGGCTTTTTTTTTCTTCTTCGTTGCTTATATTACTTTCTTTACCTGATTCATTTTCATTCAATCATCCGTGTGACGAACAATAGCTAACTACATACACACATGTACCAATATAAATAAAAACAAAAAGTAATATACAATATTAATGTCGTCTACATCTGGACAATTTTTAACTATTCATCATAATGGTGAAACAGATCAAACAACTACTTTATTGGATTTACCTTCAATTACATCGTAAGTAATTTTAAAAAAAATATTTAATAAACAAAAAAAAGAAATATTAATCGATTATTTGTTTTTAGATCATCTCCAACGGCTGAAATTGAATTCAATACAACGGATAAATTAGAATATTTATCACAATTACTTAAAGATAAAAGACAACTTTCTGCAGCACCAAATATGTTTATTCATATTGATCGTTTACTTGATCAAGGTAAATATTAAATTATTATTTAATTATTCTCTTTTATGATATTATACTTATTTTTTTTTTTTTTTTGTTTTCGTTATAAAATATTTTAGAAATCAACAAAGTTCGATTTAATTTATTTAATTCAAATTCTAATCCAAAAATTGTTTTACCTGAACCTAATGGAGAAAAGAAAATATTTCAAGAAAAAATTTTTATTCCAGTACAAGAATATCCTGAAGTAAGTTAATATTATGCAATATTTTGAAATATTATGGTCATAATATAATTAATTCT